GACATGAAACATGGATAATCTAATTATTAAAAGAAAATTAAACTGAAGGAGTTTACTGTCCGTGCAGACAAGAAACATTAATCTAATTATTAAAAGAAAATATTAAACTGAAGGAGTTTGCTGTCCATGCAGACAAGAAACATTGATAATCTAATTAATAAAAGAAAATTAAACTGAAGGAGTTTACTGTCCGTGCAGACAAGAAACATTGCTAATCTAATTATTAAAAGAAAATTAAACTGACGGAGTTTACTGTCCATGCAGACAAGAAACATTGATAATCTAATTATTAAAAGAATATTAAACTGACGGAGTTTACTGTCCGTGCAATTATTAAAAGAATATTAAACTGACGGAGTTTACTGTCCGTGCATACAAGAAACATTGATAATCTAATTATTAAAAGAAAATATTAAACTGAAGGAGTTTACTGTCCGTGCAGACAAGAAACATTGATAATCTAATTATTAAAAGAAAATATTAAACTGAAGGAGTTTACTGTCCGTGCATACAAGAAACATTGATAATCTAATTAATAAAAGAAAATTAAACTGACGGAGTTTACTGTCCGTGCAGACAAGAAACATTGATAATCTAATTAATAAAAGAAAATCAGCCTTGTCACCAACTAAAGCTTTCTAATCCGTATATCTTTACAACCAGATGGAGTGAACCTTAGATTTTTAAAACTTATTCAAATAAATATTAGATATTTTAAACTTTCATACAGAGTTTATAATTTGAAGAGGTGTGAAACATATGGTTACAATTATCTTTGTAAGTAACGAAGATATAAATAATAAAAAATCAGAGTTTGTGACCAACACTCAATTCCTTTATAAATATAAAAAGAATAAAATAAGTACCTATCAGTACTAAATCTAATTTAATCTAAATGTACATATTTAAATAGATACCTAATTACCTACCTACCTAATCTAACTATACATATTTAAATAGATACCTAACTACCTACCTACCTATTCTAACTATACATATTTAAATAGATATCAACCTACCTACCTAATCTAAATATACATATTTAAATAGATACCTATCTACCTACCTACCTAATCTAACTATACATATTTAAATAGATATCTACCTACCTACCTAATCTAACTATACATATTTAAATAGATCCCTATTTACCTACCTACCTAATCTAACTATACATATTTAAATAGATACCTATCTACCTACCTACCTATTCTAACTATACATATTTAAATAGATCCCTATTTGCCTACCTACCTAATCTAACTATACATATTTAAATAGATCCCTATTTATCTACCTACCTAAATAGTACCTCCCTACATATCTAACTATCTATCTTTTTATCTATCTACTGATGAATGTATCCCTAGGGTGTTGACTATTGCGCCATTTTAACTAAATGAGAATAATGAGAAGGATTCTAGATTCTCCTATTCTAGCATACTCAGTTCTCAGGTAGAATACTGCAGAGTGCAGAGCATACTCAGCTCTCAGGTATTATACTGCAGAGTACAGAGAATGGTCAGTTCTCAGGTAGAATACTGCAGAGTGCAGAGCATGGTCAGTTCTCAGGTAGAATACTGCAGAGTGCAGAGCATGGTCAGGTCTCAGGTAGAATACTGCAGAGTGCAGAGCATGGTCTCAGGTAGAATACTGCAGAGTGCAGAGCATGGTCAGGTCTCAGGTAGAATACTGCAGAGTGCAGAGCATACTCAGTTCTCAGGTAGTATACTGCAGAGTGCAGAGCATACTCAGTTCTCAGGTAGAATACTGCAGAGTGCAGAGCATACTCAGTTCTCAGGTAGAATACTGCAGAGTGTAGTGCATACTCAGTTCTCAGGTAGAATACTGCAGAGTGTAGTGCATACTCAGTTCTCAGGTAGAATACTGCAGAGTGTAGTGCATACTATTATTCAGTTCTCAGGTAGAATACTGCAGAGTGCAGAGCATATTCAGTTCTCAGGTAGAATACTGCAGAGTGTAGTGCATACTATTATTCAGTTCTCAGATAGAATAATGCAGAAGGAAGTGCATGGTCAGAGGCAAAAAAACATTTAAGACAATTTATGTGTTGACATTTAATTATTCTTACATATAATTGACTTTAGAAATTTTTTGTTGTAAAGCAAATGATTTTACTATCAACCTTTTAAGTAAAATTGGTCTGTGTAAGTGACTGCATCAGAAAAAAGTTTTTTGATAAGTAACTAAATAAATAAATAACATCTTAGCGACGACCCCCAAGAGGTTTTCAACACTTGATCTCAATATCTCTTAGGTAACTTTGCTTGATCCCTCCGACCACGACCACGGGATATCGAAGAGGAATTAATCTTATCCTTCAGACTGCAAAATAAACCTGAGGAATAATATTCCAATGGTTAATAATTTGCTATTTTAGTTTTGAGTTGATTTCCATCGATGATTGTTGGCTCAATAGTTCCTCCTGATGAGTTCAAACTTCTTTACAACCATTTTAATACATATCGTTTAAAAAACAACGGCTTTAATTTTACTTTATATCAACTTATATCTTTTTTATAAACTGTAAAATTGTGAACTTAAAAGATATGAAAAAGGGGGCTTTGTGGTTTTCCCTGCCCTAACGTTAATAATATTTTCATTATAACATGAAATGAAAAACTGATTATTCTTTTTTAAGAAAAAAGTTATTGAAGTCAAAACCATTGTTTAATATTATTCACAAATTTTTATTCTTTTTTCAACCGTTTTTTAAAAAATGGCTTAATTTACATTTTTTTCTTCAAATCCTTGACCAATTTGAGTTTGAAATTTAGCAACCTAAAAAATGCCTTATTTCAGTTTTGATGTAAATGAATTAGATCCAAAGGCACTTACATTAAAAAAAAGATCAGTTTTTCTCCCTTATCTATGTTAATTTATGCATGAAAAGAGGTTAAATACCCAAATATATAAATAAGATTCAAGACTCATTAGAATAAAGAAGGGGGGGAGGGACGAAGGAGGGTCAGGGTTCTAGGTGGTGAGAAGAAGATTTACACCAATAGAAATATTTCTAAAGAGTTTGTGAAGATGAGAAGAAAGATGGGATTAAAGTTTCAATGGTTTCTGTCTAGGATTTAAACAAGTTTTTATAAGAATAGTTTACAATAGTAAATACGCATTCATCTTTATCTTCGATTCATCTATTCATCTTGGATTCATATATTCATCTATTCTTCTTGGAATCATCTATTCATCTTGGATTCATCTATTCAGCTTGGATTCATATATTCAGCTTGGATTCATCTATTCATCTTGGATTCATATATTCAGCTTGGATTCATATATTCATCTATTCATCTTGGATTCACCAATTTATCTGGATGGACCTTGAATGAATTCTATAAATGATAAGAAATAAAATTGGCCGCAGTTTTTATTTAGGTTTAAAACAACAAATAGGTTTAATACAATAATGATAATAATAATAATATTAATAACAAATACAATTAATTAAAGTATACAGACAACAGTATTTTAAATACTTACATAATTCATATAAATATTAAATTAATATTACAAGAAGAAATATGAATTATGTACATATATATAATATTGTACAAGGCACTTACTTCACAATGTTTGTGAAAATTCATGTTTTGAAAAACTTCCTCTTTTCTACTTGGATGAATTTGAGTTCTTTAAATAAATTTAGAATATAAAGGTTTTGGTTTATTATTTAAACTACAATGTATAACTTAATTAGGTTGAACTGAGCAATGCATGCAGAGGAAAGCCGAGACCGGAAATAAAACGTTATCAAATATTTAATTTAGTTTGGGAGTATGCGTTTAAGGGGGCTGGGGGGGGGGCAATTTTATATGTCTTAAAAATATTTAAACAATGTTTATTAAAATTTTCCTTAACTTTATTCAAGGCGTTTTTTGTTGCACTGTTTTCTTAAGTGTTTATAAGTCAAAATGAATTGTTAAACTAGTATTTCCTAGAATATCTAAATGTTAAAGGCAAGATTAATAGATTGTAAAAATCTAGTTTAAAAGAGAACACCCACTTTTACCATATATTTTATTTGAACTAGTTTATAAAATAGTTCATATTTTATGTTATTTGATATCTGGATATTATTTGTAGATTCTGTTGGAACACAAATAATGAGAGAAAATTTTTTAATTTTATATTTTAATCTTTTTTGTTTGTTTTTAAAATACTCAGATATATTTAAAAGAACCTTGAGAGTAAAAAGAGTGGGTGGGGGCGGGGGGGGGACTATAAACTCAATAAAAGAACTATTAAATACTATCTTGAAAACGTTGAGATCTAAATTAAGAATTTATATCACAGAAAAGCACATTTAAAAAAAGCCTCCAGACATACCAACAATTTTAGGAAAAAACCTAACAGGGTTTTCAATTTACCCATCAACCAAATCTTCAGAAAACTATTTGGAAAAAAATTGATAAAACTTTTTTTAGGATTTACATTTAAGAATAATTTTAATTAAAGGATCCATTCTTTTTTATCTTTTATCCAGGTTTAGATCTCTAATTGGTTAAAAACTGATATTTTCTGTATATTTTGTTTGATGTTAGATATTTGGTTTGTGGATCCAATATTTACACTTAATGTTTGATTTTAAATAATCAAAAAAATGTAGATATCCTCTTAATTTTTTATCTATGAATGCTTGATTCAAAACGATTTAAAATATACATGAATAAATTATAATGAATAATGAAATCTATATATAAATTTGGCTTGTCTGTTTGTTTGTTTGTTTGTTTGTTTGTATCCAATAAACGTCAAAACGGCTGAACCGATCGGGCCCAAATTTTGTGTGGGACATCTAGGGAGCCCAGGGAAGGTTTATGAATCATCAAAATTTCAAATATTTGTCTCTATCAAAATTCGATCGTCATTAAATTTTTTAAAATTTTGAAAATCCGCGAAATTTTTTGTAAAAATCCGCAAATTATTTTTGTTTAGTTTTACGATGTACACAAAGAGAACATGTTTACAATTAATTTAGAAGATGGGCGCGAAGCGCCCTCTAAGGCTAGAAAGAAGGGCGCGAAGCGCCTTGAATTTCTAGTAATTATAAAATGGTCTACAGAAATATTTACCTATCATTAATTTGTTTAATGAAAATATTGATCATACCTAACAATACATTCATGCAAAATGCATATAACCATTCAAATTTAAAATGGAGATAAGACTTTTTTAATTTTTGTAAAATGATGTGTCAGATACCACCGTAGAACAAGGGGCATATAAATAACATTTAAAAACTTTAATACTATAAAATATTCTTTTAATAATAATATTTTCAAAAAGGGAAAGAAAGTAAAAGATACATCTTTCCATGTTAAGAAAAGTTATTTTTTTTTCTGCAAAAAATAGTTTGTCAGAAAAAACAGACATTTTTTTCAGAATTCACACCTCTCCTCCGGGGTAATTTTATTAGTTAAGTCTGCATTTAATATTCTATATCTACTCCTTCTTTGACATTCTAGACATACCATTCTTTAACAGGTTTATTATTGTTTGTTTTCACTGGTTTAACCTGCGTACTGCTTAGTACAGGTGGTGTACTGGGGTCCACAGAATACGATTTAGATTCAACAACTTTCACACTGGCCTCAGAGTGTGTCCTCATTTTAAAAACAATCACAATAATGAGAATGATGGCGATCAAGATCACAAAAACGATCCCAATGATGAGAAGGGTTCCAGGAATGTTTATCTGTAAACAGGAATAAATACTATTTCTAAAAAAATTAAACTTCCAACCTCTTTTTTAAAAAAAGTTTTTTTTTGCCAAACTGTCTTTTTAAAGTGGCAATTGTCCAGTTCAGAACAGTACACTTTTAACCATTGTCTATCAAGGATGACGTAAGTGTCCTTATTAAAAGATTTTATTAAAAGAATCATGCTTTCTGATAGACAATACTTGAAATTCATTTTTTTAATATTTCCAAAATTACATTTTCCATTTTAAGAATATAATTACCCCTGCCTTGTTGTGATGAATTTTCTCTCTGGGATTATCCCCTGGTTCCTGCTCCTCTGGGTTCTCGTAGATATTATACTTCTGATCATAGTTCTCATAGCTTCTACCATTGGTAGGATGGTACTGGGTAGGGGGGTAGGTAGGGGGTTCTCCAGGGTATATAGGATACTCAGGTTGGTAGATCTGATCCAGGGGCTCCTGGGTGGTTGTGTCAGGGTAGTAGGGATAGGTCGTGTCTACCACAAAATAAAGAGAGGTTAATGGCGTGATCACGAAAATTAAATTCTGATTGTCTTTATATATAACAGTAAACTAGATGTCTTGTTTAAAAGTAAAGTGCAAGTCTTAGATTTTCACCCGCTGAATTTGCATTTGCTATTTAATACTTTTTTGTTGGGCTATGAATTTTAAATACTTAAGTACATAAGGTCTCTGACTCTAAATGTTACGGATTTTAGATAAGAGATCCAAATATGATTAAAAATATTCTTAAACAGACAGGATGCATTTCTTTCTGATTAGTTTTACGTCATATTTAGATACTAGAAATTCAAGGCGCTTAGCGCCCTTCTTTCTAGCCTTAGAGGGCGCTTCGCGCCCATCTTCTAAATTAATTGTGAACATGTTCTCTTTGTGTACATCGTAAAACAAACAAAAATAATTCGCGGATTTTCACAAAAAATTTCGCGGATTTTCAAAATTTTAAAAATTTAATGACGATCGAACTTTGATGGAGACAAATATTTGAAATTTTGATCATTCATAAACCTTCCCTGGAGCCACGAGAGGTCCCACAAAAAAATTGGGCCCGATCGGTTCAGCCGTTTTGACGTTTATTGGATACAAACAGACAGACGACAGACAGACAAACAGACAGACAAGCCAAATTTATATATAGATAATTACATCTCCAAGGGTTGGATGTAGTTGTCTCCGGGTCCTTGTCTGCACTACCCTCCTGTATCCAACAGTCCTCGTCATCTAGACAGGGGTGTACCCAGGGGGTACTATCCTCCAGGGCAGGGGGGTCTGGTGGGGAGATATACACAGGAGTGATCAGTTCATCTCCACTTCCTACATTTTAAAAACAAGTATTTAAAGTATTTAAAGTATTTAAAGTATTTAAAGTATTTAAAGTATTAAAAGTATTAAAAGTATTTAATTTTTCCTCACTGTAAATGGAGTTTTTCAATTGTAAATTTCCTGTAAAAATTACTTACAACAGGCGATGACAAAAAAGGAAAATTTTCAAGATAGAAAACGTTGTTTTGTTAAAAAGAGGAAGGTTTGAAGGGCACTTTTAAAGGGACAGACCGGCTAAGTAAGATAACTAAACTGAGTATGCAGTGTTTTGGATAAATTTTTTAGGATTCATTTGAGACATATGAAACGTTTCCACGATGTATAATTACTGAGTTAGAGTGCATAGACGACGTTCAAAATGATGAATTTGGGTGGGTACGTTTTCAGAATCGGTTTTTTAAATTATTTAATCACGACGACCAAAAATATAGTAAAAATTCTAAACTAGCTAAAAAAACGATTCTGAAAACGTACCCACCCAAATTCATCATTTTGAACGTCGTCTATGCACTCTAACTCAGTAATTATACATCGTGGAAAAGTTTTAAATGTCTCAAATGAATCCTAAAGAATGTGTCCAGTTCAACTACCTTACAGAGCCGGTCTGTTCCTTTAAAGTGAATCAAACATGCCACACTTTAAATGGTTAACCACTTGAAGTTACATCTACAATCCCTTCAGGTAAACATTTTAAGATTTAAAATATAAATATTAACCTGCATATTGGTAACACTTGGAGCTTAGGTTCTTCCGTTTAGAAATGCATTTCGCAATTATTATGTCGTCCTAAACAGTTTTATTCTAACATTTCGGAACAATATTTATTTAAAATATAAAATTAGGAAAATAAAAAATAATACAGTAAGACCCATAAAATTGAAGAATAAAAAACGCAATCAGGCAATCTTATGTGTATAAGATCATGTTGTAAAACGAATGATTTTACCAATAGCCTGAAAATCCACTTAATATGTAAAATGGGTGCGTGTTATAACCAGAAAATTGGTGTATTGTCGTTTTCCTATTCCACAGTTTTATGGTTCCCACTGTATATACTATAAACTATTGATTAATGTAATCTCTGTTTGGGTGTTTGAGTGTTTGTTTGTTTGTTTATCCGATCATAACTCATGAACCCCTTGACCGATTTGCCTCACATTTTGATTGGTTTTGAGATTTTGAGTTGAATGGGTTTACTATTAATTTACGACAAAGGACGAGTGAACAGTGGGACTAACTCCCCTGGGCAACTCTGGGTTCGATTCCAGTAATTTACCTGAACCCCTGGAGTATCACTGCTATCAGTTTACCTGAACCCCTGGAGTATCACTGCTATCAGTTTGTTGCATTCTCTCAAACTCATCCAAGTTATAATCTCTTAAAATGTAAAGCAAAATAAATAAATGTGTCATAAATTATACTTCAGAACCTTTTTATCAAAATGTTAAAAAATTGGCCTAAATAATTGATCTCAAATTTAATGACTTTTAAGAACTATATTTAAGTATGAAAGATATTGTGTTAATCAAACGAATCCCACTGAGCTTTTATACACTCTGAGTTCGGAACTCTTGTATTGTGGATATCGGGATCAAACATCTATAATTTTGGTAATCTGAAAATTAATTTAATCTTTTTTCGAAATCCCGAATGTTAATCGTATTCGTTCGCTGATTGGAGAACTCAAATGAAGAAATTAAGCAACGTATTGTTCCTCAAAATAAAAGTTTCCATAGTGGATATCGATATCAAGCCATCGGAAATGTGAGTATCCAACATAAAAGTTTTTTCCTATAAATTACGAAGTTTTTAGTTTGTGTGTCTAAAATAAAATGTTGAAATTTAAAATTGAATAAAAAATGATCATGAAAATGTTTTTAAATTATAACCTGTAATTAAACGGTATCTGATGAAGATACTTGATATCTCCCATTATACTCGCTCCGTCTACGATCAAATATTTTAAGAAAAAATGAAAAAAGTTAATTTAGCTTGAACGGCCGGCTTGAATCAAGAAAAACAACAAACAAACGAAAAAAGGAAAATAATTTTCGACTAATTAGTATTTTAACGGAATTAATAAAAATCAACAACAATTGTTAACAAAATATATAAAAGCGACTTAAACTCAACCAAATCTATGAAAAAAACAGGAATAAGATTTGTAAATATATGATCAAAAATTGAATATTAGTTCGAGTTTTACCTTTTCTCTCTTTAGCTAAGTCCAGCGGCCGAATAGTATTGTAGACAAGACCGGAAATAACACCTTGAAACGGCCGTTCAATCTGAAATATTTAATCTTTACTCTCCTCAAACACTAAGTTTCTATAAATACATCAGTATTTACAACCTAATGTCGCGGACCTTAGATAATGTTCTAATTATAACTTAAAATAGAAGTCATGTCAAGTTTTAAATATCAACGGTCACAGATTAGAAAATATATGAATTAGGAAAATAGAGTTGAATCATGTTTTTTTTAGAAAAATAAATATATTTTAACATATTTTAGAGAAGAAAAAAATTTAAAAAAGCTTGCGAGATAAAGTTTTAAGTTTTAAGGTTTTTGTTTACTTTGGGCAAACTCTGCTTTTTTCTGCTGAACATATACAATAAAAAATATAATATGCGGCTTTTACGTAAAGAACAAGATGAATGGTTATATATATATTTATATACATATATATAAATTCCTGTAAGATGGATTACATGTATACGTATGAAGAATGATTTATATATAATAAAATGTAAGATGTAAGATGGATTACATGTATACGTATGAAGAATGATTTATATATAATAAAATGTGGAGACTAGATATTTGCAAGAAAAACTTTCATTTTCCAACTGAATGTGTATTTACACTTCACAGAGAACATACATTATAGTTTTTTTCTAAAATAAACTCATCGTGACTAGAGAAAAAATTCCCCCCCCCCCGCCTCCCTTCCCCTTCTTTCTTTAACCTTTCTTAATAGTTTCCCCTAGGGGTAAAAGGTCGGTTTCCCCCGGTTGGTTTTGATGAAGATTGGAAAATAGATTTTCAGGAATTTAATATCTATCTATCTATCTATCTATCTATCTATCTATCTATCTATCTATCTATCTATCTATCTATCTATCTATCTATCTATCTATCTATCTATCTACCTGGTAGTCGTCTATATGAAGGAGAGCTTGACTTCCTGTTCTGCTGAATCTGATCACGTGATACTTCCCATCATTTATCTGAGCAATCAATCAATTATTCAATTTTCAATAAATAAAACTAGGTTAGTACAATCCATGAATTTATAAATCCATCATTTAAAGGGACTGTGAGCGTAGTGTCAAGTTAGCCTCCATGCATGAGGATATTGCCCCGTATCACAACGGTATCCTTGAAACCTTTATCTGATCGATAATTAGTCCTTCACTTCATCAAAAGTAAGCGATCAATTTGTTAATCAATATCAATTAATAAATTTTAAAAATTGGTCTTAAGAAATAGAAAAGATTTATTTTTCATTAATCGTTCCTTTAAAGGTCAAAGATTATCTATTCCTATAAATTTAAGTACTTTAAAATTATTTTAGTAAGTACTCTGAATTGTCAGTATATAAGAGTTAATGACTATAATTGTTGAATGGTTGGTTAGAATATATAATCTATGTTGAACTCTAGTATAAACCATTAATAACTAAATTATCCATCAATATATTCACCAACCTAAACTTAGATAATTGGGTCTAAAGTCGATATTAAACTAACTTTCAAGCTTTCATACTGAATATTCACTAATCCATTCATCCTATCATTCACTAGTTCATTCATCCTTTCATTCACTAGTTCATTCATCCTTTCATTCACTAGTTCATTCATCTGTTCATTCAAAAGTTCATTTATCCTTCATTCACTAGTTCATCCTTCCATTTATTTATTAGTTAATTCATCATTTCATTCACTATAATTCACTTCTTTCATACAACATTATTAATCATTTCTTTCATTTAATATGATTCATTAATCCATTATTTCCTATAATTCATTCATCCTTTCATTCACTATAATTCACTCTTTTCATTCACTATAATTCATAATTTATAATTTAATTCATCCTTACATTTACTAAAAAAAATCATTCTTTCTTTTACTGTAATTAACTTCTTTCAATCACTATCATTCATTCATCCTTTCATTCGCTAAAATTCACTCCTTTCATTCATCCTTTCATTCACTAATATTCACTCATTTCATTCACTATAATTCATTCATCCTTTCATTTACAAGTTCAGTCATCATTTCTACTATATTGTATATTTCAGCAAATATTTTTTTTCATTTTTGAATGAAACAACAGTTTTTTTTTCATTGTTCATATCATGCTATAATTACGTCATACTGCTGTAAAATGACGTTTTGGTCTTTAATCCTGACCTTTAATGAGTTTGTCATGACCTTAATGAGTTTGTCCTGTTCTTTAATGAGTTTGTCCTGACCTTTAATGAGCTTGTCCTGACCTTTAATGAGCTTGTCCTGACTTTCAATATGTTTGTTCTGACCTTTAATGAGTTTGTCCTGACCTTTAATGTGTTTGTCCTGACCTTTAATAAGTTTGTCCTGACCTTTAATGAGTGTGTCCTGACCTTTAATAAGCATGTCCTGACCTTAAATAAGTTTGTCCTGACCTTTAATGAGTTTGTCCTGACCTTTAATGAGTTTGTAAAATTATCTTGTTCTTACCACAAATGAGTTTGGTCTCCTATATAATGATCTTGTCCTGACCTTTGATGAGTTTGTCTTCATATATATAATGATTTTGTCCTGACCTTTTATAATAAGTTTGTCCTCAAATATAATAATATTGTCCTCAAATATAATGATCTAGTCCTCATCTTTAATGAGTTTGTCCTGATATATAATGATTTAATCCTGACCTTTAATGAGTTTTCTCTTACTAAAATCTCCCTGTTCTCAGTATAGAAGGAAACTAGAACCTTTCCATCCGTCTAAAGCATATTATAAAATTATTATTTAAAAATATATTTTTTTTTTCAAATATTATTTTCGAATATAAATATCATTAAATCAGCTTTGCTAATATGTAAACATGGTTAGTTAAGAAAGATCTATCATTTAAATACCTATTTCACCGTTAGCTAAATATATATAGTTGGTTAGTTAAATATATATAGTTGGTTAGTTAAATATATAGTTGGTTAGTTAAAAATATAATTGGTTAGTTAAATATATGGTTGGTTAGTTAATTATATAGTTGGTTAGTTAAATATATAGTTGGTTAGTTAAATATATAGTTGGTTAGTTAAATATATACTTGGTTAGTTAAATATATAGTTGGTTAATAGAGTTAGTTAGTTAAATATAAAGTTGGTTAGTTAAATATATAGTTGGTTAGTTAAATATATAGTTGGTTAGTTAAATATATAGTTGGTTAGTCAAATATATAGTTGGTTA